CCCCCCCCCCCCCCCCCCCCCCCTCTCCCCCCTTGTACTCCAAGTTCAAGTGGTGTGGGTTCTCCAATTCCCCATCCGGGCAAGCAGGCGAGAAACTTTGGCTCGACGACGAGACATCTGGTTCATGGTTAAACGGTTCCTGGCACTTACGTAGCACGCTTATACACCACTCTTTGCACGATGTCGCCGTCGCCGTCACCGTCACCGTCGACGCCGACCCTCTCCCTGAGCTACCTCTATGGGGAGCGGGAAGTCGCCAATGCGTGCCTGGATCCCGCCTCTCTACACTGATCTTTTCCTCCCCTCGACACCAACGAGCTGTTGTTGCCCTGGATCAGGGTCGTTTGCGGCGGCCCGGTTGCCGTGGGCTGTCGGATCCTCGCCTCCCTTCGTCACGAACCTAGTCCATCATGAGGTTGCGCTGGGTCTGCGCTTTATGAGCGGAGCGGACGCGGGATCGGTGGCGAGCTTCCCCCATGAAGCTGGATGGGTTGGCGCATGCAGCCGGGATCCGAACATCGCGGGTGTTTTTTATCAAGGAGAAAAGCAAGTCTCTATATAAACCGTTGACATCCTCGCCGTTGGGATCATGTTTCTTCTTTCTCATCCCCATCCGCATCTCTTCCCATCCACATCGCATACTTCTCTTTCCTCCCGCCCGCACCCCCTTCTCGCTTTCTCTTCCCAGAACCCGAGTAGTCCATCTCATCGTCCACCAAGATGCAGACCAAATTCGCCGCCCTCCTGGGTCTCGCGGCCGCCGCCCGCGCCCAGCAGGCTTGCACGGTTACGGCCGAGACTCACCCCTCGCTTCAGTGGCAGAAGTGCGCCGCCGGCGGCACCTGCACCAACGTCGCCGGCTCTGTCGTTCTCGACTCTAACTGGCGGTGGGCGCACACTGTCGAGGGTTACACCAACTGCTACACGGGCAACTCATGGAACAACGACTACTGCGCCTCGGGCAAGGGCGCCGACTGCGTCTCCAAGTGCTGCGTCGACGGCGCCGACTACTCCGGCACCTACGGCATCACCACCAGCGGCAACGAGCTGAACCTCAAGTTCGTCACCACCGCAAGCAGCGGCAAGAACATCGGCAGCCGTGTCTACCTCATGAAGGACGCCTCCACCTACGAGATGTTCACCCTGCTCGGCAACGAGTTCACCTTTGACGTCGACGTCTCCAACATCGACTGCGGCCTTAACGGCGCGCTGTACTTCGTCTCCATGGACGCCGACGGCGGTCTCTCCAAGTTCCCCTCCAACAAGGCCGGCGCCAAGTACGGTACCGGATACTGCGACTCGCAGTGCCCCCGCGACGTCAAGTTCATCAACGGTATTGTGAGTGTTTTCTCGAGGCTTCTTGCTGAAGCAAACAATATCGCAAATATACTGACCAGTGTCTCCTCTTTCTCCCCTAGGCCAACGTCGACGGCTGGAACCCCAGCAGCAACGACCAGAACGGTGGTGTCGGCAGCCTCGGCGCGTGCTGCGCTGAGATGGACATCTGGGGTAAGAGAAATGATCCTACTACCATCACCCACCGCTACTCCCCCTTGACACCTGTATCGAAATGGCCGGGCGGCTAACCAACCCGCGACACACAGAGGCCAACAAGATCTCCACGGCCTACACCCCCCACCCGTGCGAGAACAACGCCTACCACTCCTGCGTGGGCAACGACTGCGGCGGCACCTACTCCAGCGAACGCTACGCCGGCGACTGCGACCCCGACGGCTGCGACTTCAACTCGTACCGCCAGGGTAACAAGTCCTTCTACGGCCCCGGCTCCGGCTTCACCCTCGACACGACCAAGAAGCTCACCGTCGTCACCCAGTTCCTCAAGGGCGCCGACGGCACCCTCTCCGAGATCAAGCGCTTCTACGTCCAGAACGACAAGGTCGTGCCCAACTCCCAGTCCACCATCGCCAGCAACCCGGGCAACTCGCTCACCCCGGACTTCTGCAAGGCCCAGAAGACGGCCTTTGGCGACGACGACATCTTCAACCTCCGCGGCGGCTTCGAGCGCACCAACGACGCCGTCTCCAAGCCCATGGTCCTCGTCCTCTCCCTCTGGGACGACCACAACTCCAACATGCTCTGGCTCGACTCCACCTTCCCCGCCACCGCCACCCCGGGCAGCCCCGGCGCCGACCGCGGCTCCTGCCCCATCACCTCGGGCGTCCCCGCCGACGTCGAGGCCAACGCCCCCAACTCCAACGTCAGGTTCTCCAACATCAAGTTCGG